CTTTCTACTAAATGGTTCATTTTCTTGTATTAGTGAGCTTTTTCTGATCACAATTTGTCTGGCGTCCGTCTGTCTGTCTGACCGCCCGTTTATCTGTAAACTTTTCAAATCTGACTTCCTCTAAAGAACCACCGTACCAAACCTGTCAAAAAGTATCCTCAGGTAAAGGAGATTCTCGAGTTTCTGAATTCTTTTTCTAAGAAATTTTACATTGTTTTTAAAATATAGCACTAGAAACATCTTGTAAAATTAGGAAAAGGTTTTGTACGTGTATTATATTACATTACTTGATATCATTGATTAGCCATTATTTTAATACAGTTACAAGACATTCGGTTGTTCATTCAAAGTTAAAACACAGACAGTTAAAGCGACAGACAGAACCATGCAAAATAATAACGACATGCACCTAATATAATCATTGTAATTAACACCTTGTTGACATTTAAGTTCAGCACTGTATACAAGATCAAGAGCTTCTTTTTTTTTAATTAAAATAAGTGCAAAAAGGTCAATATGCTGCATAATGATAGCCCTACCTGCAATTTGTATCGTCTAGTGTTAAAAACATATTAATTACGCCGACGTAGGAAAACTTTCCAGAGGATAAGGAGAGGTAACTCTAAGGACCTTTAAAACTAAGGGACATTTTATGTAAAGATTTTTCTCTACTTAAGAACTGTTTTCTCTTAAATTTATGATTCCTTGAACACCAAGCTTATTTTTTTTAAACCCATTACTTATTATTTTGCTGTAAAATATGAAAGAAGTGAATATTAATTAATTTTGTGACAATAACGAACAGTACTCAAACTTAAAAGACCATTAAACAATATAAAATTGGAGCAGAGCAAACATGGACCTCTAAAACATGAGGTGAATCAAAGAAAAAAATCAAAGAAAATTCATTCATTTATTCTCTGTCTCAAAAAAAAAAACATACAAAAATTACAAATGGTACAGTTGTACATATATAAATATTTATCAAAATTACTAGAGTATAGAGAAGCAGAGGTACGTATAAAATAATGCTTCTTGTTGACTTTATCAATATATTGTAGAGCTGATTTAATCTAAGGTAAAAGGAGAAGGCTGAATTCTTTTTTCTTTAAAACTGATTCTCCATACTAAAATTTAAAGAAGATGAAGGTTGTTATGTGTCACATATGGTAAAATTTTAAAAAGAAAAATAATATTATAGTATCTATTTATCTATTTTTAAGGGCATCCAGTTAATTAATATTATATAATTAAATAAAATATTTTACAAAGAATTTGAAATGAAATTGCAAATTTTGTTGGAAAATTGCGAATTTATATTTGCACCAATATTAAAAAGAATTTTTTTTTTTCAAATCAATTTGAAAAAGGTAGGGTTCAATATATAAAATTTTTATTTTATGTTAAAAGTTTTATATAAACAGGAATAAAATGGTCGAGCAAAAACAAAATTAAATGGCTCACGTAGCTTTTAAGGTTTATCAACCTTAAACCATTCATATAAAATACATATATATTGCTTTATTTATTTTTTTAGGATTTACTGAAAGAAATGTATTTTATAATAAAGTGGGGCTACAAAAGGGGATCAAGGTTATGCAAAAGAATATAAAAGATATTACATGCATTTTCTTCTCAAGAGAAGCAAAGTCATGATGTCATATTACTTCAGAAACATTCACAGGTAGTGTAGATTCGAGTGTGCTCAAATCATGTCCTTTGAGGTAGAAAAAGCCATTACCAACCACACCCCTTAACACTTTCATATTAGTTTTTTTGTCCCCCGCTTGAAAAGTGGGGGATATTAATTTGGGTCTGTCCCTTCTGTCCGTCCGTCATTCTGTCGGTCTGTAACGCTTTCGTTTCCACACGATATCTCAAGAACCCTTTGAGCTTTCGCAATGAAATTTGGCATAGCAACTGCCTATAGACTACAGAAGAACCCTATTGATTTTGGGGTCAAAGGTCAAGGTCATAAATTCGCAAAGTCAGTCTGTTATATCACTCGTTTCCGCGCGATATCTCAAGAACCCTTTGAGCTTTTGCAATGAAATTTGGCATAACAACTCCCTGTGGCCTAAGGAAGACCCCTATTGATTTTGAGATCAAAAAGTCAAAGTTCAAGGTCGTAAATTTATACATTCTGTCTGTGTTTTACACTATCCCTTCTGGGCGATATTTCAGGAGGATTTTGAGCTTTTGCAATGTTATTTTATATCACGTTTTCTTACCCTCGGTAACCATGTATTTTATATTTCCTAGTCAGAATTAATTCGATCCGTTTTCAGTATTTTGATTTTTTCCCAGAATTCCCTAGAACCTCTCTCACCCCCTCAAAGTGTTCCGCCCGTTTGTTTTATTAGTATTTATTGTATTACATGTCGCTATTTTTAGCACAGGGGCATGAGGAGTGTTATTACGTATAAAACAGGTTCTCAGCGGACTTTATATTCTTATTACATCTATTAGAACTGTTTAATAAAGGTTAAATTAGACACCATGCATTGTGTAAAATTTTGACAATATCGAACGTGAATATATACATGTATGTGACTTCATTTTTAGCATTTAATTTTCCTCAGCGTCAAGCAGTTCTGTGGGCTAGTGGTATGTCTCTCGCTTCACATGTGAGATATTCCGGGTTCGAATCCCGGACGAACCATTTTTTTTTTTAAATACTTTATTCTGATAAATGATAGCATGTGAAATGAAAAATTTATGAGGTCTGACTTGCACAAACTCATAAAATCATCAATACGGTGTGATAAATATTCCATATAAAAAGGATCTTCTATACACATAATAAAGAATATTAAGCAATCAAATCTTTATCCATATTGGCATATTTTATTTGTTTCAGTATACATGTGTACATTTAATACTTCTACAATAATGGCATAATAATTCAGTCAGGGGGATCCGACTCGATCCCCCCTCCCCCGAACTGCGCATTGTTTACTTTTTTCCCTAAGCGGGGAACACAAATTCTCTGAATTAGCTTGTCAATATTGAACTTAATTTCTTTCCTAGCCAGACTTTAATTCGATCTGTTTTCAGTATTTTGATTTTTTTAATTAGCAGAATAATTTGAAAACTAGAAATATCTTGTAAAATTACGAAAATGTTATGTAAGTTTAGTACATTAAGTTACCTTAATTAATATCATTAATTAGTCATTAATTAGAGCTACAAACCTTTCGGTAAAAATACAGACAGATAAAGTTAGACAGAACTATGAAAAATGATTACGACCTATACAGTCACTGTAACAAATACCTTGATGACATTAAAGTTTAACGTGCAAAACACCCTTTTATCATATAAGTGAAAAAAGGTCAATATGCTGCATAATGAATGCCCTACCTGTAGTTTGTACTGCCTAGGAGTGTTAAACAATTACGCCGACGTAGGAAAACTTTCAATGGGATAAAGAGAGGTAACTCTCAGAACAAAATAATAAGGACACTTTTCTACTAATAAAAACTATTTTCTCTAAAATTCACGAATACCTCTTTTCCAAAAAGCATCAAGCTTAATTTATACCTTTTAATCCTTTTCTTACATGTATTATTTCTGCTGTAAAAATCTGAAAGTGAATATTTCAAAGTACAGTGTATTTGTTAACACACACATATACGACAAATTTTGACAATATATTCATGAAAACAAATGAGAAAGTTTAAGATACCGCCATGAATGAATGCAGAAACCCTATTTACTTGAGATGAGTTATTATTTTAATCAAAGAAGAAACAACTTTTCTGATAAACACATGTAGGTGGCATGCTTATAAAAATGGTTGTATTCATGTTGACTTTGTCGATATAAATAATGTAGATTACAACGTTACATGTAGATAAACAAGCGAAATTTGCATAATATATAATTATTACGATAGTTTTTTCTTCTTCATGAAGGATCATATCTCATTTAAACTGATTATCCATATAAACATTCAAAGAGACTGAAAGTGGCAATAATATACCAGGTATATTTTTAATGTTTAATGTTTAAGTTATTGAATGGATGTTTTGTTATATAATTAATACATTTGGTTTCCCTAACGGTAAGAATTAATGTATGTTTAAGGGCATCCATTTATAATTAAAACAATCATATTTTTACTTTGAAATTGAAATGAAATTGCACATTTTATGGGAAATTGCCAATTTTAAATTTGCATGAAATTTTTTTAAAAAGCTACATCATTTTCAAATAAATTTGAAAAAAGATTAAAATTTTCACGAGTATAGTTGAACTTTTTATACAGACCGGAATAAAACTGTCGAGCAAAACAAAATTAAATGATTTGTACCTTTTATGGTTTATCAATCATAAATCATTCATATAAAACTTTCATTTAACTTTCATGGTTTTCTGAAAGAAATAAAAATCAAAATTTCAAAAAAAACTACAAAATTATATCATACATGTAGCTTTTGTGACTTAAATTAGTATATTAACAATTTCAATTTGACTTTAAACAATAATAGATTTTTACGTTACCAAAAGTTAAAGCATTATTTTGTGTATGGTATATAAATGAATTTAAGATTTAACCACATGGTTTTAAAAAAAATAATTAGAAAAACACACGTACTTACTGTCAGGGCGGGCGTAAATAATGGAGCTAGTAATATAAAATGTTCAATGAGATGCAACTAAGTAATGCATTGATTTACGGGTATTAAAGACATAATATTTCTTCGTTCTCAGGATTTCTTGCTCATCATTGATCGAGAGATGATTCTATAATTAGTTTTTGTCAATATCTAGATAAAAATGACATATTGAGTGAACGTGACTGTCGGGAGTGTATATTTCATAGCAATGCCAAAACAAAATAAAAGACGTCAAGTTTACTTCTTACTGATTACAAGTACCCACGTCATGTTTAAATCACTTCAAGAACTATTTTTGTCTATGAAAATATAAAAAATCATGTCATTGGTAAAAAATATTTAAAGGTAAAATGTAAAGTTTGTGTATTCACTTCACTT